GTCCTGCAGGGAGGGGACACAGCAGGTGCTGGGGCCTGCATGGGGGCCTAGCGCCCTGGGGATGGAGCGTGTGGAGGCAGATGGGGCTGCGGTGAAGACAGGGCGTCCTGGGCCCTGTGCCCCCACCTCTGTTCCCTCGGGCCCCAGCCTCCTGCCTCTGTCCTCTGTCCTCTGGCCACAGCTCAGCTGGACTCAGCAGATTCCCGGAGAAGGAGGCCAAGCGCTCAGCTCGAAATACCTCGTGCAGGTGGAGGGGTGCTTACCAGGTTTAGACTGCAGGTGTGCGGCGTCCCAGCCCCTCCACCCCTCCTGCGCCCTGGCTTAGACCCCCGACAGGGGGGCAGTGCGGTCGCCTACCCTGAGCTCTAGCCTGGACCGTCCCTGAGGCAGGGCCAGGGGGGATCAGGCCAAGCGGACACAGGTCCCCGTGGATGCGGGTCAGCTGGGCTCCTGCCACCTCTGTGGTCTTGCAGCCTTGGGGCTCAGGAAATGCCCAGGAGCAGATCCTGTGGCCTCTGCCTGCCCCCCCCCCAAACCCCAGCTCCCTGTGGCCTCCTGTGATGCCTCAGGCCTGGCCACATGGTCCCCGGGACGTTTCAGCCTCCGGAGGAGCCTGGACCGGGGGGGGGGGGGGGGCTCTTGCCGCCCCTGCCCCAGCACCCTGGGTTTCCGCAGCTGCCCAGAGACGAATTCTCACTCCCACTTAATAGGGATACTGAGGGGCAGCGGGACCCAGAGAGCCTGGGACGGCTTCTCCCCCACATCTGAATGGGTGTCCTGAGTTCCTTCTTGGAGGGAGTGTGGGGGGGGACTTGCTTGGGTTGGGGACCCTGGGGGCAGGACCTGGAGGAGGAGGGGAGTGGGGCAGGAGAGGGTGTGAGGGAGAGGGCATTCTCAGCAGGGGGACAGAGGGACGGCACAGGCAAAGGCCAGGTGGCTGGAGGCCCGGGTGAGGACCGGGCGGGGCAGGGGGCCTGTGCGGCTGGGGGGGGGGGGGGGGGGGGGGAGCAAGGGGGTTGGCTTGGAGGCAGAGAGGGGCGGGAGCTCGGGAGGCTCACTGAACATGGCAGGTCATCTCAGGTACACGGTTAGGTGGAAACATCAAGAAAGTTATGCATGACATGGTGCCATTTATAGAGAGGAAAAGATGTATGTTACATAAATTCAGACGGGAAGGGGAAAGGGACACCCCTTGTGTTGCCCACGATGATCCTGGGGCAGGGTTATGGGTGACCGAGTTACTGCCTTATAGGTTCTCTGTGAATTTCTACAATGACCTTCTAATTCAGATTTTTAAAGAAAATTTTTATTTTGGAATAATTTTAGATTTACAGAAAATTGCGAAGACGTCAGAGAGTTTCTGTCTACACTTTGTCATCAGTTGGCATAATCCGCTCCCCCCGACAAGACGTCCGGATCCTCGTCCCGGGACCTGGGATGTGTCCCCTCACGCGGCAGAGGGGACCTTGTCAGGGCCCCCGAGGAGGGGGTGACCCTGGGTTCCTGGGGGGCCCGGCGTCCTCACGAGGTCCTCATGAGGCCCTCACGACGGGGAGGCAGAGGGTGGGAGTCCCAGAGATGGGCAGACCCCGCGCTGCTGGCGGTGAGGATGGAGGGGGGGGCCGCGGACCAGGAAGAGGCCGGAGCTGGGTCTCCCTGGGGGCCCCGGGGGGGACCAGCCCTGCCCACGCCGGCGTTTTAGGACTTCTGACTTCACAACGTGAGGTTGATAAATGGTGATTTTTTTTTTTAACTACCAAATTTGTAGTGATTTGTTACAATAGCCCTAGGAAACAAATATTTTTGTCACCACTTGGGAACTGATATTGGCATATTGCTATATTACTAATTAATAATATTAGCAATTACTATTACTATTAACCGAACTCCAAATTGTATATGGATTTCACCATGTGTGTGTTTTTAGATAATTTCCCTTTTCTGTTCCAGGATCTCATCCGGGATCTCCCATGACATTGAGCTACTTTTCTCATAATTGGTAAAAAGACCCAAGCAGATGAAATAGAGATTATTCGTGTGGAACTCTGGCCGGGTCTGACGCTCACGCAGCACTGTGCACACAGCTGGAGTCAATCAATGTCCCCGGAGAGGAGTCGAAGCAGCGTCCCGCTGGAGAGAGGATGTCAGGAGAGGTGTCCCCCTCCCCCCAGAGGAGAAGCACCCACTCTGGAGCCTGAGGATGCCCCTTCTGTGGGCAGGCTGTGGGGAGCGTGGGGAGGGTCTGAACTTGCATGAGGCCACCCGGCAGGTCAGCACCTATGGAGTAGGCCACAGGGCCAAACACAGGCCCGTGTCCGCATGGGGTGTGCCCAGTCTGGTGGGATGAAAACCAGCAGACCTGCAAGGAAATGACATAATTTCAGGTTGTGAGGGACCGCAGAGGGAATCGCGGGGTGGAGGTGGCCTCCTGGACAAGGGTGGCCCTTGCCTAGGCCCTCGAAGATGAGAAGGGGCCGTTGGGAGGAGACTCAGGGATGGGGAGCATCATGAACAGAGCAGAACATATGCAAAGTCCCTTGGGATGAGCTTGGTATGGGATCTTGGACCAGCAGAGAGGCCGGGGCGGCTGGACTGGGGTGAGTGAGTGGGTGGGTGGGAGGGCCACGGGGGGTGAATCAGCAGGCTTTAGTTTGAATGTGATTTGGTTCTGGAGGGCTTCTTGCTCATAGGAAGAGATTGAGCCTCCTGCCCCCGGGTCCCAGAGCAGGCCCTGAAACCAGCTCCCAGCCTCCCCCCTGGTTCTGTGAGCCTCCAAGGGCCCAAACACTCTGTGTCCCCTGATCTAGCCAGGCGGTTGATGCTTCCCTCATCTTCCTCTTGGGTAGACAGGCCTGAGGAATGTTGTACCCAGTTCCTTGGGGACCCACAGGGGTCACCAGGGCTCACTGCCCCATGCCCCATCCTCCCCAGCCACTCACTCCTGCTCTGCACCAAACCCTTGCTTCAGGCTCTGTGTTTGGCACAGCCCAGATGGAGATATGGGAGGAGAGACAAGCCTCCCACTTCGGCATCCTGCTGGCCTGCCCCATGTCATCAAGAGGGAGTGAAGACCGGGACAGGGACCTCAGACCCAAGCTGCAGGCACTGGGAGAAGGAAGAGGAGCCGCCAAGGATAACTGAAGAGATGTGGAAGAAGGGTGGGAAAAAAGCCTGCAGAGCGGGGTCTGGAAGCACAGGAGAGGACACGGCTTCTAGAAGGAGCCAGCGAGGCGCATGAGGCTGGGAGAGGCAAGGACAGAGTTTGGTCCTGGGATGGGAGGGGAGCCGGGTCTAGCCTCCCCCACACCGCTGGGCCAGTCTGGAGACAGCGCGTGGCCGCAGTCATGGGGTTTCCGGAGTGCGGTAGCAGCTCCGCTCCCGGCCGCCCCCAGGGAGCTGCCAGGTGGGGTGACTGCTCACAAGTGCGGGCACGAGGGAGTCTATGGCGTTTCAAAGGCCAGGAGGCCAGAAAGGGACCCAGAGCCTCATGCTCTGGCTCCGGCACCTTCCGGAAGGGGCAGACTGTGCCACCCACATGCCCATGGGCTCACACCTCCCCCCGGAGGCCTCCAGGAGTCTCACCGCCGGGGGCTGTCTCGGCAGCTGTTCCCTCTACCTGCAGCAGGTATTTGGAGCGAAGCTTCCCGGCATTTCTCCTAGGAAATGTGCTGAGTCTGGGGAGTTAGGTCAGTGAAGGAACAGACTGTAGCCTGGAGCACGCGGGCTCCGGGTGGAAGCGGCGGGTGGCCAGGCCAGGTGCCGGCCCGAAAGACCAGCCCCGCCTCTGGAACCTGGGCAGGGGCCGGCATGGGAGGGTCAGGCAGCCCGCTGAGCCCCTTTGTAATGCTGCAGTCCTTTGCTTGCCAGGCACGCTGCCTCAGTTTACCCATCTGTAAATTTGTGGGTATTAGTGCACTCCTAACACTGTGATTTCTTTTGCGGAGGGTGGGGAATCTAACACGGTCTTCATTCCTTGTTGTTGTTATGGCAAACGTAACAGAAATTTACTGTCATAACCGTCTCTAAGTGCACAGATCCGCAGCATGAAGCCCACTCACCCGGTCCTGCAGCCACCCCCACCCGCCGTCTCCAGAACGTTCCATCTCCCCACACGGAGACTCTGTCCCCACCCCCTGCCCGAGCCCCGGCTCCCACCCTCTCCTCTCTGTCTGTGGGGACGGGACTCCTCTGGGGACCTCCTGGGAGTGGGGTCCTGCGGGATGTGTCCTTCTGGGTCTGGCTCCTCTCAGCACAGTGTCCTCGGGGTCCCTGCACGTCGCGGCAGGTGTCAGGGTCCCTTCCTGTCTAAGGCTGGATCGTATTGCAGCGTGGGGACGGACCGCATCGTGTGACATATCCATTATATGTCAGTGGACACTTGGTGTGTGTCCAGCCACTTTTTGGCTGTTGTGAATTATGCTGCTACAGACATTTGTGTTTTTTGTTTCATTGTAATTTTTTTTCATTCTAGAGTGGTTGGGGAGAGGGTCCTTGCTGAGGGGGCAGGCTGAGAACGGGAGGTGTCCCTGGCCCTGTGATAGAGGCTCAGCTGGGAAAACACAGTGGGGGAGGGGGCAGAGCAGGTGTCTGTGCAGGTGACAAGACAGGTGGGCTGTGAGGATCCTGGCCAGGATCTTATAGGGGTTCAGTGAGCTCGGCCATCTGCCCCTGCCAGAGCTCCCAGGGCCCCCGGGGCAGAAGCCCAGGGGGATGGTATGGGGGTGCAGGCAGCGGCTCTAGACTCCAGTGGGACTCGGCCACTTGCAGTCCAGCAATCTCGGGCTTGCATTTGCCGTCCCGAGTCTTGGTTTTCTCATCTGTAAAATGGGGCTGAGGGGTGCCTGGGTGGCTCAGTTGGTTAAGTGACTGCCTTCGGCTCAGGTCATGATCCGGGGGTCGCATCGGGCTCCCTGCTCGGCAGGGAGCCTGCTTCTCCCTCTCCCACTCCCCCTGCTTGTGTTCCCTCTCTCGCTGTCTCTTTCTCTGTCAAATAAATAAAATCTTTAAAAAAAAATAAAAATAAAAATAAAAATAAAAATAAAATGGGGCTGAGAACAGCACCCAAGGATAAGCTGCTGCCCGCCAGGGGTCTGGCTTATACACGTTCGCCTCTGAAGGCCGTCCTGACTCACGGCCGTGGTTCAGTCGGGTGATCTCCCAGCAGTCATTCATTCCATGAGGGCCAAGTGTATCTGTCCTGGGCGGGCAGGGTCCCGTGCAGGTTCCACATGCTAATATGTAGGTGCTCAACGGATGCCTGAGTTAACACGCAGAGGAGGGGTGTGACTGAGAGCCAGCAGAGCCCAGGGTGACAGTGACATGATGGCCCAGACCCATGGCCCCCCAGCCACCCACCTTCTGTCACGATGCTCTTGGTTCCCATTAGCAGGGAACTCGGGCTCCCCGGCTGCAGCCAGCTGGCCCCCAACGGTGGCCTGCAATCCTTGGCCCTGGTGCTGAGGCCGGTCCCCCACAAAGGTCCCCGAGTCTTGCTCTGGGCCCTGCCCTGGGGCACCCTGAGAGGCCCCCGTGCCCCGCGTGCCCCTGCTTGATACACCAGCTGGACATGTGACCATTCAGAAGGTGTTTCCCGTCCCTGGCAGCATGACCTAGCCAGATTCCGAAATCTGGTCTCTGGAAAATTCCAAGGCCTGATTCCAGCCACAGGGAGCCCTGCTAATCCCTCCCCATTCCTCGTGTTATGTAACATTGGGGGATTAATACTGTGGCATCCAGAGAAAGCTGCCTGCATTCAAATCCAGCACTGACCCTTCCTGGCTGCGGAAGCCACAGCTTCCCCGGGCCTCAGTGTGCTCACCTGTACAATGGGGACGAGGCCAGTTCCTGTGTCCCAGGATTGATGTGAGGGTGACATGAGAGAACACAAGGAAGGAGCCTGGAACTGAGTCTGAGCTATGGCTCCCAGGAGGGTCTAAGACTGCCCACCAGTCCTTTCATCCACCACCTCTCCTTGGCTGCCCAGGCCAGGAGTCACACACCCGCCTCTGCCCTTCGGTCCCCAGATTCTGCTCCTTCTCGCTGCCCAGTGACCTGCATATATGATACCCCCAACCCCCAGCTCTGCCCCTCCTGGGTCCCGGCGCCAGGACTCACTCCCTTCCCAAGCAGCCCCAGCCCGAGAGCTACCGGGCTTCTTTCTCCGCCCTCTGGGTCCGGCCACGGCTCCCCAGTGCCACGAGAACCCTGTCAGGCCCCCACTCCCACTCGCCTCTCCCTCGGAGGCCTCTGAGAGAATGAGACCATTTTCTGACCTCTGTTTCCCGCTCGGGGAAATGGGCACGTTGACACCTCACGGCTGGCCGGGAGGCGCGGGACTGGAAAGCGCCGACTTGGCGCAGGGCTGGCGCGCGGGGCGCGGGCTCGGCTGTCACCGGAACTCCTGCCGGTCGGGGGTCCCCGCGCGCCCACGCCCGCCGCCCTCCCTCGGCGCACACCTGCCCCCTCCGGCGCCTGGCCACGCCCCCCAGCGCCGGGCTCCGCCCCTCCCTTCCCCCCAGCTCCCCCCCTCGGCCAATAAGAGGCGCCCCAGCGCAGCGCAGCCCCCAGAGGTGGTCCCGCGGAGGCTGCGCCAGTGCCCGCGCCGAGCGCCCGCCAGGCCCCCGGCGGGATGGAACCCGGGCCGCGGCGGCGGCGCACTTGGTGCCCGCCGGTCTCCGCCTTCCTGCGCGATCCGAGCTCCGGGCGCGTCTACAGGCGCGGGAAGCTGATCGGCAAGGTGCGGACCCCGGCTCCGCGAGTCCGCGGGAGGGTCTCGGGCCACGCGGGGGTCCGGGCGGGGCGGGGCGGGGTGCGCGAGGGCGATCTCGAGCCCCGGCGAGCAGGAGGGCGCCCCCAGGCTTGACTTCGGCGTGCGCCGTGTGTCGGCGCGAGTTTGGGGTCTGGTGTCGGCTGGCTGGGTTGGGCGCCCGGGTCTGTGCTGTACCCGTCGCCCAGTGTGCTTTGTGCGCCGGGAGCCGGTCTTTGGCGCCTTGTGCTGTGCCCATGGGTTGTGCGTCCAAGGGTGTGGACGTGTTACAGGTATCGGGCCTTTGTAGAAACTCTGTGGTGCAGTCTCCAGGTCCGTATCTGAACCATCTCTGCTCTTTCCATGTCTGTGCGCTTTCCGTGTCTGGGTGTGTCGTGTGTCCACGTACTTACTGTACTGTGGTCCGGGGGCTGGATGTATCCAGAGATGGATACGTCTGTGTACGTGTCCCTGCGTTTTCCTCTGTGTTCCTGTGGTTGCGTCTGCGGGTGTGAGCTGCGTGTCCCTGCATCTCCTGCGTCTGCGTGTGTATGTGATATGAAGAGGCCTGGCTACCTGTCTGCACACCTGTGCCCACATAGCCGCTGAGCAGGTGCGTCCCCCTCCACTGCAGGGTGCCTTCAGTCGCTGCTACAAGCTGGTGGACATGTCCACCAGTGCCGTGTTCGCCCTCAAGGTGGTGCCTCGTGCTGAGGGCGGGGCCGGGCGACTGCGCTCCCTCGGTAAGGTAGGCCCAGACCTTCCGTGCCCCGGGGGGCCCCCCACACTTCGCAGGGGGGTCCCCAGAGAGAGCCCTGCCCTGGGGGGGTGGGGTTATGCCCCTGGGCCTGAGTACCACGGGGCGTGGACATATGGGGCCACGCCTGCAGGTGGAACGCGAGATCGCCCTGCACAGCCGCCTGAAACACCGCAATATCGTAGCGCTCCACGGACACTTCGCTGACCGGGAGCACGTGTACATGGTGCTGGAGTACTGCAGCCGCCAGGTGCCCCGGGGGCTGGGTGGAGAGGGAGCCCCCCCCCGCCCCCGCCCGTCTGCTGTGCTCATCTGTGTCCACCTCTATGTCTCCACCTGAGTCCGCACCAGGCCCATCTGTGCTCATCCTTACGCACCTGTGCCCGCCTTGGCTCTTGACTCACTTGGGTCTACTTGTGCCCAGTTTATTCATCCGGCCCATCTCATCTCCATCTGTGGCCATGTGGGACCACCTTAACCCCATCAAGCCCGCCTTAGCCCTCCTGAGCACACCTGGGGTCACCTGTGCCCAGCATGTACCCGCGTTGGGGTCATCTCTGATCCCCTGGCCCTTTTCACACTTCCCTGGGCCATCTGGGCCAGTCTGCACTCCTCTATTCCTCTTTGGGTTCATCCGAGCTTACCTGTGTCCGCCTTTGTGTGCTCGGTGCTGCCGCGGCCACTTGCGGGCACCTGCAGTCACTGGCCCACGTCCTGGAGGCGCGGCGGACTCTGACGGAGCCTGAGGTGCGCTATTACCTGCGGGGCCTGGTCAGCGGCCTGCGCTACCTGCACCAGCGGCGGATCGTGCACCGCGACCTGAAGCCCAGTGAGCCCGGGGAAGGGCAGTCTGGGGGCGGGGCCGGGGGGCCCGGGTGTGGCTTCTGCCCTCATAGCCCGCGGCCCGACCCCTCTGGCAGGTAACTTCTTCCTGAACAAGAACATGGTGATAAAGATTGGAGACCTGGGGCTGGCTGCCAGGGTGGGGCCAGGGGGCCACTGCCACAGGTAAGTGAGGGGCTCTGAACAGTGCCTCAGGGGAGGCACAAGTAGGACCAGTTTGGCAGGTGGGCCCCGGCCTTCCTGAGCCCACCATTATCCCCTCCCAGAGTGCTCTGTGGGACCCCAAACTTTCTGGCCCCAGAGGTCATCTCCAGGAATGGGCACTCCTGCCAGTCAGACATCTGGGCTCTTGGCTGCATCATGTGAGTGGGTCGTGGGGAGCCCCGGGCCTGGGGAAGAGGGGCAGGAGGGCCCGGGTGGGGCCAGGTGTGGGCAGGTGGAAGCACGCACAGACAGGTAAGGACAGGTGTAAGCCTCCAGAGGGGAGGTTGAATGGGGGACAGGCGGGTGTGAGCATGCCTAGGACCGATGTGGACAGGTGTGTGCAGGTGTGGGGCAGGTGGGGCGCACCCGCCTGCCATCACGCGAGTGTGCAGGTATGAACAGGGCATATGGGGCATGTACGTGCGAGGGAAGGCAGGTTTGAGCGTGCACAGAGGTGTGGACAGGTGTGTGCAGGTGGTGGATACACAGGCAGATCTGGGCATATGTAGTTATGAGGTACATGCAGGACAGGGGCAAGCAGACACTCAGGTTGCTGCCGCCCCCACCCCCCGGGTCAGGTACGCAGTGCTGACCGGTACCCCTCCCTTCACGGTGGCTCCCCTGTCGGAGATGTACCAGAACATCCGAGATGGCCGCTACCCCGAGCCTGCCCACCTGTCACCCAACGCACGCCGCCTCATCGCCCGCCTGCTGGCGCCCAACCCGGCGGAGCGGCCCAGCCTGGACCTCCTGCTGCAGGATGACTTCTTCACACAGGTGTGTGCTGTTGCACGGGTGGGGCCCGCCCTGGGGGGCCGAGGCCCAGGAGCCGGGCGGCCCGCGCCGCGTGCTGACCCCCGGTGCCCCGCGCCGAAGGGTTTCACTCCAGACCGGCTGCCAGCCCACTCGTGCTACAGCCCACCCATCTTCACCACGCCCCAGCCCCTGGGCAGGCTCTTCCGGAAGGTGGGCCGGCTGCTGCTGACCCAGTGCCGGCCGCCCTGTGAGTAGCGCACCTGCCCACCCCTCCCCTGCCCCCACCTGCTCGGCAACTTCCCACCTGTGGCAGGGGTGGACGTGGGGTGGCAGACGCCTTCCTGCTGCACGGGGCCAGGCTCCGCCCCCCGAAACTCCCTGTGCTTCCCTCAGGCCCCTTCACTCCCAGCGAGGCCTCGGGTCCAGGAGAAGAGGCTTCAGATCCTGACTCCATGGAGCGTGGCCGTGAGGTGAGGGCTCGGGGCAGGGACTCGCGGAGGCACGCGGAACGCGTTCTCACGGCAAGACCCGGCGGAGGGAAAAGTCCGGGGCCGTGGTCTTCAGAGCGAAGAGGATGGAGCCCCTCACCCACCTCAGGCCTCTCCTGGGGGCCAGGGCCTCCCTCCCCTCACCACTGCTGCTTCTTCCCCAGGCCTCCCTGTTGGACAGAGGCGCTCCCCACCCCGAGGTCCCCGTCCGCCTACTCACCCAAGGGACCCTCAGGAGTGACCTGGCGGGTGAGCGGACCCTCCATCCTAGGCCCCGGCTGCTGGTGGGGAGTAAGGGTATGGAGGTGGGGGCAACGAGTGGGCCTTGCCAGGGTCGTGGCCCCTCTCCCGGCTTTAACTTTCCCACCTGTGAAATGGGAAAGATGGCTGGAATCCTTCTGGGTTTAAAATAAGATGTTCCCAGATTTGGTAGTTTGGAGCAGGGCTGGTGGGAGGGGCCCCTCGTGGTGGGGGGACAGACAGGCCTGTCCCTACATAGATCTGTCTCCCCTGGGCCCCCGGGGGACCAGAGGCAGGAGGTCGAGGCGGCCATCAGAAACCTGCAGCTCTGCCTGGCCAGGCCCACAGGGGCCACCTGTCCCTTAACATCCCAGGAAAAGTGCCCTGCTCTGCCCAGGGCCCCCCGGGTATTTCTGGGCCTCCCCTGGGGGACAGAGCTGAGGGAGGCTTCAGGGCACAGAGATGCCCATCCTGCACCCCAGGGTCCTGGAACCCCCAGCCCCCCATGCCTGCCCCTCCTGGGTCACTGTCCCGGGAGCGTTTTCTTTCTCAAAGGACTCAGTGGGGTTCTTCTTATTCTTCTGCTTCTGTAGCACAGAAGGACCCTGGACGTTAAGACTTCCATCAGTTGGAGCCAACTCTTACTTACTGAGATGTCTTCAAGAAACAGTAAAAGATACTTTGAGATTTACAGGGGAGGCAGCCCGGAGAGTTCTGCCTGCCGCTCCCCCAGCTTCCCCCGGCCACTGGATAGCCCGTTTTTTCACTAATGCCCTTTTATCTCTGCCAGGGTCCGATCCAGGATTCCAGAGGCCATTGATCGATTTGTTTTTAACGCACACTTTTTCTTAATGCAATCCAGCAAAGCCTGTAGAGTTCGGGTGTTGCACACGGTTCAGAAGGGCTCCTCTCAAGAGGCGGCAGGTGCCCCCCAGCCCCTTGTCGTCCCCCCGCCCCCGCAAGGCAAGACTTGGTTTTCTGCCCCCCCCTGGACTTTGCTCTACATCTTCTGTGTCTCCGCTGTTCCTCCCCCAGCCCCCACCCCTGGAGACCCCTTGCTCAATTCACTTCATTTTTGTGCCCAGCCCCACAGGACCCCCCAGGAGAGCAGCGGCCCATTCTCTGGGCCCCCAAGTGGGTGGATTATTCCAGCAAGTATGGCTTTCGGCTATCAGCTGTCGGATGGGGGCAGTGGTGTCCTGCTTCGGGACGGCACGCACATGGCCCTGCGCCCCCCGGGGGAGTAAGTCATGGGGCTCCTGTCCACCCCCCATCTTTCTTCAATCATTCCTCAAGTATTTATTAAAACAGCGCCTACTGTGCGCGCCCGTGGGGGCTCCCTGCCTGCTGGAGGGGGGACAATGCTGCACAAGTAACCAAGGTGATTCCAGGAGGCAATTTTCTGAAGAAATGAAGTGGGTGAGGTGACCGGCTCGGGGGGTGGAGGGTTAGGGCTGTGGAGGGGCTTCTGAAGAAGTGCCATTCAGGCAAGACACAAAGGATGAGAAGGAGCCCAGCAGGAACAGCGTCTGAGGCACAGGCATCAGCGTGTGCAGAGCCTCCTGAGGTGGGGTGCAGCCGTTGGGTGTGAGGAACGGAGTGGCGTGAGGACACGGGCCTTGACGGCCACTGTGGTGGTCGGGACAGGAAGTGTGGGCCCGGGTCACACGTTCAATGTGACCTGGCTGGCAGGGAGGCTCAGGGAGCCCGCAGGGAGGTGGCTGGACTAGTCGGGCAGGGAGTGGCCGTGGCCTGGGGTGGTGGCCTCGGAGGGACGCCAGGACGCTGGCACCTGGACTCCCGTTGCCGGCAGGAAGGTCGGAGTAGCCGCTAGGCCAGATGGGACGGTGGCAGAGGGAGCGGTTTGGGGGCCGGCCGGGATCAGTATGGACACGGCTCCAGGGGGCTGGGGGTACGGAGAGAGGTGGGTCAGTGCGGAGCCGGTCTCCAAACTCCCATCCAAGGGCGCGTGGCCGGCGGGAAGGCGTCCTCGGGCATCGAGTGCCCAGGACAGAGGCTGTGACAGCGGGCACCGCCCCGTGCCGCACCCCCAGCTAAGTGTCCTGCATGCCTGCCCGGGGGAAGCTGGAAACCTTCACTCCAAGGGACGTGCCCAGCCCACTGGGTGCCAAGCTGGCCGTCCTCCAGCTCTTCGGCCGCTGTATTCAGCAGCGGCTGCGAGAGGTAAGGGCCGCGTGGGGCCGGGCCGGGCCGGGCAGGTGTGGACGCCCCCGGCCCTGAGACCCGCGGGCTGGGTCTGTGTCCAGGAGGGGGCCCGGCCCACGCCCACCCCGCCGGCAGCCCCCCGCCTCTGCCTGCTGCACATCCTGGCGTCCGCGCCGGCTTCGCTCCCGCTCTTCCTCGACGGGACGGTGCAGGTGAGCGCTTGATGTGCCCTCGTCCTCGGGGGGCACGCTGTGAGCACCTGCTGTGGGGGGGCGGCCAGGAACAGTTGGCTTCGGTGGGGGTGGGATGTTGACTCCTAAGTACAAAAACTGCAAAATCAAAAATGTGTTCATGTGCCGGCAAAATGTAATTTCGGGCCATCCTCATGGGGTAGCCGCCCAAGTTATTTCAGTGGAAAATCATTTCTAGATTGAGGCAATCGCCCTGAGCAGTCCTGGCGATTGCTGACAAATCACAGCCAGTCCTGAAACAGACTTCAGAAGCAGTCTTGTACAATGCTTCCGTTGTTAGTTTAAAAAATTACTATTTTGTGTTACAGTAAAACCTCCCTCTCTGTTCAGACTAGAACGTGGCTAGCATGCTTGCCCTGAGCTGGGTCTCAGCTAGAGAGGACCTCCGCCGGGGAAGCTGGTTTACCCAGGTCGCAGGATTCGGGGTGGGGGTCTCACGGGGTGGCCCTGGAAAGGGGAGTCCCCATCTGAGCCCCATTGCCCCGTCGGTACAGTAGAGCCCTCGGCCCCTGCTCCCTGAGCTCCTGGGGGTGCGGCAGTGCTGAGACCCAGGTCAGGGGGCTGTCAGCCTCGGTCCACTTGTCCTACTCCCTGGAGCGCTGTGGGGGTGGGCATGGGGGGGCCCCCTCTCCCTGACCCCGGCTCCTCACCCCCTGGCAGATCAGCTGCAGTGACGACCAGACTCACCTGGTGCTGAGTGGCCGGGGCGACGAGTTGCAGTTCACGGTCTGGGAACGCGGCCAGCCCAGCACCTCCTACCCCCACCCCCCAACCCGGCGCCCTGCCCAGTCTCGGCTATGCCCCGGCTGCCCGGCTGCACCTTGTCCATGCTCTCCACATGCTGCAGAGCATCTAGTGTCCCCCGCAAGTGGACCAGGCCCCCGGCTCCAGTTCCGGGTCTCTTGTCTCCCCAGAGGGGTGTCCCTGGGGACGGCTCAGGGGAGCATGGGAGGTGGGGGTCCTTGCCTCGGGTCATGACTGTGCAGCCCAGACTTTTGTTTGGCTTTGTTCTTTTTTTCATTAAAGAGAAGTTGACCATCTAGCCAGCTGTCTGCCTCTCTGGTGGAGTCTGAGATGCGTTGGTGGGGGGACAACTTAGACCGGCAGGCTCTGAGCCTACTGCCCTTTGTGGCAGACACAGATGGGCCTGATCTCCGCCAACACAAGAATTCATACCAGCGTGGGGTCGTGCCGCGACCAGAGCACTGAAGCATGTGACGTTTGCTCGATGGCCGAGCAGCAAGAAAGTGGGTGTCCGCGCTGGGAAGTTGGTGACCGTGGTCTGCAGGGCGACCGTGCTCTGGGAGCCCCGGGCTGATCAAGAACTGGGCCTTCTGTGCAAGGTATTCTCAGAAAGACCCGAGGCCAGGAAGGAACTGGCCAGCTAGCAAACAGAGCGCAGGGACAGCAGAGATTCGAGACTTGTGGGGTTGAGGAAGCCAGGAGACAGGCTTCTAAATCCTCCAGGTCAGGTTCCTGGGGAAGGAGTTGACTCGGCAGGTTAGACTTCTCCACCTGCCCCCCAAATAGAGGTCTGAATGTGTATGAGAGGTACTCAGAGAAACATGCACAATGGACATTTATGGATGTTGAGAATTTTTTAATGTGTAACATTGTTATAGTTTTGTTTTTAGAAGGCGCTCATCCTTAGACGGTCCTTCCCAGCAGGGGGCGGTGCTGCCTGCCAGGGACCCCTGGTGATGACTCAGGGCGACTGTGATTGTCACACTGGGGGCACTGCTTGCACCGAGTGGGTGGGGGCCAGGGAGGCTGCTCAGCACCCCCCAGCACCCGGGACACCCTGATGTCCGCAGGGCTGGGGAGAGACCCTGCTTCAGAGAGAGAAACTGAAGTATTTACAGGCCTAATGCTGCATTTCTAAAAGCACATTTCCTTTGTAATCAGGGAAAAAAGCAATAAAGATGCAAAGTGACAGTTTTGGGAGAAATGGGGAGTCCAGTGCCTACACAGCACCTCACACACAGCATGAGCCCATAATTGTCCCTGTCATTGTCCCTTGGCTGGGGCTCACACCATGTCCATCGGGAGAGAGGCCACGGGGGGTAGGGGTGCCTCTCAGACAGAGCTGCAGCACCACGCGGGATCCTTCACAGCCCTGCTGAGGACCCCATGTCCTGTGGGCACACCTGCCTGCAGGGCGGGGGTGGGGGGAACTCCCAGTGGGATGTAACTGCCTGGGGCTGGAACCAGAACCCGGGCCTTGGACGCCCTCCAAACAGGGCTTTTCCTTTTCACCGACTTACTCTCAATTCCAAAAGTAAAACGAGGATGCCATCTATTTGTGACAAACTGCACATGGACAGAGCCACAACCTTCGTGGGGAGGTCACAGGGTCACCTGGTTCTTTCTGTTTATGCACACTTGTGTCCCCCTAGAAAGGGAGGCGGCCATCAGTGTGACCTTGCTTTTCCCCCTCTGCAACCACGGGCCTGGATGCATTTCTGCATCCGGGTATTAAGGTCTGGTGCAAGGACGGGGTGAAGGGGAGCTGCCGGTCAGGGCCTGGGAAGGAGACGGAGGGAGCCGGTGGATGGGTCAGGGAGGTCACATGCCTTGGTGTGGCCTGACGTGGGAAGAGAAATTGTTTTGTGTAAAAGAGGGGCAGGAACTAGGAGAGCCCTTGGAGAATCTGGGAGGAAGGGAGTGTGGGCGAGAGAGGAGCCCGCAGAGGGAGAGAACAAACACTGGGCATATACATCCTGGTCTTTTTGTCCTTTTATTGTTATCGTTATTGTCATTGATGTGAAATTCACATACCATGCAATTAGCCATTTTAAAGTGCACAACTCAGTGACATTGAGTGTATTCACAACGTTGTGCAACCATCACCTCTATCGAGTTCCGGAACATGCCCTCAGCCCAAAGGAAACTCCACCCCTATCAGCCGTCACCCCAACCCTCCCCCAGCCCCCGGCCCCCATGAGCCCCCTTCCCATCCGTGGATGAGCTTGTTCTGGACATGTCACCCACGTGGATTCACACCCCCTGTGGCCTTCTGTGTCTGGTTTCCTCCCCGAACGTTGTGGGCTCGGGGTCCGTCCCCAGGGCAGCGCGTGTGGGTGCCTCGTTCCTGCTCGTGGTGGAGGGATGTGTCCGTGCGTGGTGGACGTGTTGTGAATGTGCCCTTCATCTGTTGATAGCATCGTGTTACAAAGGACAAAAACCCCTCCTGACTGTTAGGAGCAACATGAAGGATGGGCTTCTAAGGCTGAAATGGTCAGAAGAGATGGTTGCAGGCTGGATGTGGGGCTCAGACAAAGGTAGGGTCTCCATCTGCCCCTCTCTTTTTCTCTCTCTTTCTCCATTTCTTGTGCTACCATCTGTGGTTTGGACTTCACTCATTAGCAGGCTCCTGCGGCATGGTGACAAGGTGGCCCCTGGCACGGGCTGGAGCTACCAGCTCAGCAAACTGGGGGAAAGGGGGCAGCCAAACTCTCCGGTTAGTGCTGGCAAAAGTCCCAGGTTGAGGCCTATTGGCCAGGCCTGAGCTACATGACCTCCCCCTGCCAGCCAAGTCACCTCGAAGGAGAGAGGGGAGTCCAGGAGAGGGGGGGGAAGGGATGCTGACATCCCGTGGTCATATTGCTTTGCCCTCGTCTTCTGTGGGCAGCCTCCGAGATGGCCCCCCCCAGTCCCAGTGTCCTGGTAGTCACACCCTTGTGTAGACCCTCTACAGGGACTAGCACTGGCCTGGGTAACCAATAGGATGTCAACAGTGACAGTCTGTGGCTTCAGAGACTCTATCATAAAAGCTGTAGGTTTCTGCCTGGCGGTCTCTGGGGTCGCAGGCTAGGGGGTGGGTCGTACTGCTGTGCCCTGCGGATGTCCAGGTACTGCTGGGCAGGGGCCCACGGGGTGAGCCTTCTGCCAATAGCCCCTGTGGGCAGCCTGCCAGTGGGTCCTCCAGCCCCAGCTGAGCCTTCAGACCAGGCAGCCCCAGCTGGCCCATGTGTTGACTGGAACCTCATGAGAGACCCCGAGCCAGAACCAGGCAGCCAAACCGCTTCTGAATTCCTAACCTGCAGAAACGATGAAGGAAAAAGATAAGTGTGTATTGCTGCATCGAGTCACTTGCTTTGGGGCTGATTTGTTACCACCGAGCAACAGCTAACTGGTACACTTGCCAAACATGCAGAGGACCCGCCCCATTTCTGCCCAGACGGCTGTTTCTGGGGAAAAACGACCGAGCGCCCTCAGCATGTGTACCTGCCCGCTTGCGCAGTGCCCACCTAGAGCACCAGCCCCCACCTGTGTGCGGGCACCGAGCCGCCAGCCGCGCCGGCACAGCAGATAACCCGCCCACACAACGTAGTAATTGCGTGACCTCCTGGGCCAGCTCTTATTCCGTGGGTGAGAACTTCAGGAGCGGGCGAAGTGCCCACGCTGCCCCCACGCTGCGAGTTTCTGGAATCTCCTTCAAACAGGGTAACCGTGCACCTCAAGAAATAAAGTCATTAACCTCCCGTTTGTGGGTGTTTGCAAAGGGTGGAGCTTCAGGAAATGGCAGCCAGTGCATGCCGGGCCAAAGCTTTTTTTCTTTTATAGAGAAAGCCACGGAGAGCACGGTTAACGGGAGGATGCGGGAAACTTGGCATCCTCCGCGCCCGGCCTGTCTGGACCACGTCCCCATTGGTCTGTGGGGGCGCGTGATGCAACGTCTCCTCCAATCACCAGCAAGCAGGGAGGGGCCAGGCGGCACGGTCGCGCAAGACGTGGTTGGCTGCTGCCGTGGCAACCGTGTGTGACGTCATAAAGCGTTGCCGGGTCCAGGTCCTGGATGCGGGCATCTGGTTCCCCATCTGCTCTAATTGGTGCAACTTGCCTTGGGGTCGGGGGCTCTCCTCTCCCCACTTAACAGATGAGGACACTGAGGCACGTGGGTCACCTCGATATGGAACTGCGGGGAGGAAAGTGTGGCTACAGGCCGGTCCACCCTGACCCCTTCCCAAACGAGGAAGTTCTAAAATCCCGATGAGGATGCTGAATGAAAACAGGCCAATGCCAACAGATCACACATACTGCAAGATTCTCCTGATACAACATTTTTAAAAAAATTTTTAAAGATTTTATTTTATTTATTTGACAGAGAGAGACACAGCGAGAGAGGGAACACAAGCAGGGGGAGTGGGAGAGGGAGAAGCAGGCTTCCCGCGGAGCAGGGAGCCCGATGTGGGGCTCGATCCCAGGACCCCGGGATCATGACCTGAGCCGAAGGCAGACGCCCAACGACTGGGCCACCCGGGCGCCCTGTGATACATTTTTGAAATGACAGCTTTTTAGAAATGCAGGACAGACTCATGGTTGCCAGGGGTTATGATGGGGGTGGGTGGGAGGGAGGGATCCCGAATTTCCCCAGCTGGTAACATTGTGGACAACACACATGCGTGGGTGCGAGTAAAATGAAAAATGTGAAATTGGAGTAAGGAAGGGGGAGTGTGCGACTCTTGATCTTGGGGTTGTGAATTCGAGCCCCACGTTGGGTGCAGAGATTATTTTAAAAAATTAAAATAGGTGTTCTAAACCAAAATTGTGTGCAGGGAATGGCAAAACAGGGGAAGGGGATTAAAAGGTACAAACTTCCGGTTATAAAGTAAGTCACAGGGGTGAAAAGTACAGCATAAGGAATATCCAATAATATTGTAATGTTGTATGGTGAATGCACTTGCTGTGGTGAGCATTTCATAATGTATACAATTGTTGTACACCTGAAACTAATATTATATGTCGACTATACTTCAGTTAAAAACTTTTAAAAATCACCGGATTAACAATTTTCAAAAATGTGTGCACCAACATTCATAGTAGCTGTGTTCAAATAGCCAAAAATGGAAACGCCCCAAACGTCCGTTGACAGATGGGCAGATACACACAGTGTGTCCACCACACACGGGAGCATCACTGGGCTGTGAAGGAGCGAGTCGCCCACATGCGCGGCCCCAGGGATGGACCCGAGCCCACGACGCTCAGGGAGGGAGCCAGACACAGAAGGCCACGCGGGGTGTGAGTCCACGTGCGTGACACGTCCAGAACGGGCTCATCCACAGATAGGAAGGGGGCTCGGGGGTGGGGCAGGGAACAGGTTGAGGGGGCGGTGAATGCTAATGGGGACAGGGCTTCTTTTGGGGTGATGGAATGTTCTGCTGTGACGGTTGCACAACTTTGTCAATACACTTAATACCCTTGAATTGTACACTTTAAAATGATTCAAATGGTAAATTTTATGTTTTTATTTAAGTAATCTCTACACCCAACGTGGGGCTCAAACTCACGACCCCAAGATCAAGAGTCACAGGCTCC